TATCTGTAGAATGGGTCTGTTTTATGGGTTTACTTCTCAGGGGGCCCCCTGCCTGTCTTTGCCTAGGGCCCCAAATTTCCTAAATCCGCCCCTGAAGGTATCAATACTGATTTGATAGAATCTGGGAGAGCGGACTATGTTCAACCATCCATTTTCTTTAACCTTATCCCTCAGTGGGATCAGGAGGTGCTGGTGCATATCTCCAGCCACGTTCTGGGTGAGAGGTGGGATCACCCTGGACAGGTCACCAGTCTGTCGCAGTATGTTCAACCAGCTTAAAAGTAATCGGTAATCAGATTTATTATTTGCACTTTTACTAAGTGAACTTTCTGACTCCCTTAAATCTGAAATTCCAATGCCAAAATTGTTTAAATCTTTTATCTTTGGACCCCCTGCAGAGTGACGTCACACCTCCCTGCTAGATTGCAAAAAGCAGCTTGCTCATGAGTTGTCATCATAACACGCTAAATCTTAAATGTACGTGTACATATAAAAGAAAAAGGGGCGCAGTGCTTGCTACTGAATGGCAACACTATCAAAGTCAGGAAAAAGTTTTAAGTGAAGCCGCGATTAAAACAGTAGCTACAAGAAGCTTCAAATAAAAGATGTTCTTTATGTTCAACCTAAACACCAACTCCGATAGACCATCAGTAGAGCAGGTGTTTAAATTAATCAATCACTGCTGCGAAAGCTTATAGCAGTGAAAGCTAATATACCACAGCCATCACTTAATAAACGCAAAATAATCAACCCTCTAAAAACGGAAAACTGTAATGGACTGAAAGTCCTGTTTTTTATGTGGGAAATTATTTGCGTGTGTTTTAGTATAATTCTGATATATTGGCGCTGTTGTCTGTTTCTATGGCAACGATACTGAATGTAGTGTAGCTTAGAGACCTGCATGGGACGAGTTTTACCAACCCGCACCCTCCCGAACCCGTTAGGATGACGACCGAACCCGACCTGTCACCCGCGGATATCTTCAATTCAAATGTTATGGGGAGAGGACGGAGGGGGGTGATGGGGAGAAAGCGAGAGGCAACAGATTCTTATTTCTGAGTTTTTTTGTCGGGGTTTGTGGACGGTGAGCAGCGGGGATAACTTTTTTTTATTTTCTTTCTGAGGAGCGGCATGAATGGGGTTTTAATCAGATATACACAGCACCGAAAGCAAAATACGTGTACAAAATATTGGTGGGGACATGTCCACACCAGTCCTTAAGGAAGTTACGCCTATGATTGTTCAGATTAACTTGTCTTCTTTATGGCTTTTATTCGGTGCTTTACTGCATTTGTTTTGGGAAAATATGAGGAAAAAATAAATACAGAAAAAAAAAAAAAAATTTTTTAAATCGCAAAATAATTATAGGGTGGCTAATGCCAAAGAAAGGGTGACTGAAGCCACCCTTAAATAGGTCTAACGACGCTTATGGTCAATGTTAAATGTTCCAAATTTTCTGTGGACAATACTTTAGGGAAAAAATGTGTATATACTCTCAGCAACAAGAGTGGTAAATTGATTATTTTTGCTGTTGCATTTAGCTAATGTATCAACTTTTTTTTTTTTTTTAGTACAAGTTAATTTTCCTATAATAATAAAATATTAGCAAAAAGAAAAAAAAGAAAACATCTTTGGTCTGATCTTCAACAAGCCTGTATGTATTAAAACACATACTGCTTGTTAACACACATAAGGCTTATTAAGGTGCAATGTGCATGTGTAATTAATAGTCTAGTGGTTGAAAACTATTTTTGTGAGGTTCCTTCACGAATATGCATAATATATTCAAATCTATAGCTGGAGAATATGCAAATAAAATATACCGTAAATAAAATACTAAAGGGATATATCAAATTTGAAAGTGATTGCTGGCACAGTTTTTGCAGTTTGAAAGCCAGCTGCAAATCCAGATATAAAAATAAAATTATAAACACATTAAAGGTGAATTGGGAATAAATCAAGCATCTTAGAAGTGTAATAAACTGCTGTCTAAAAGCCCCAACTGGGGGAATCAACCAATGCAAACAAAAGCTTCAAATTGTGACAATCCTAATGGCTGTAGTAAAAATCTTTGTAATGGATAGGCTTAGTGTGTATTTAAATAATGATTATAAAATAAAAGTAAAGACCTACAATGTTTACTGCAATCAAAAAAGACATAATTACTTGTGTGCAACAGTAAAGCGGGCAGTAAGTTGGTAGCTGGTACTAGACTGAATTATTATGCTCTGTCACACCAGGATGTTTACTTATGCTTTAATTTTTTAACTTTCATGTTAGACTATCCAGCTGAGATGTTTATGCATATTCCAGATTTACAGTTTTAATTTCCCTCTCTAGTCTTAACTCTCCAAATATGCTGCTGCCACCGAGTCTCACAAATATGCATAAGCTCACTGAATAATTTATACTGATTTATGTGCATATAAAATTTCCATGTGACATCACAGTGTGTTTTTGTTGCTAAAACAGTGTATTACAGTTAATTTATAAAAAAAAAAAAAAATAGCGCCATGATGAGAAATAAAGGCTAATGATTCCTAAATTTCTATTTAGGGTAATTAAGTTGTTTACATACCATTTTTCCTTGAGCAGCTCACAGAATAAAAAATGTATTTATAGATTGCTTGCCAAAATAAACTCACCATTAATCTTTCAACTGTGGAGCCATTTGCTCTTTATTTCACTGCTGATCCACAGGAAACTGCCGAAAGCAAGAATTTCAGGTACTTGGTGACTCGTATATCAACCCTCCTGACAAGTAAACTGCTCCCGAAATAGATACAAAACTGTCAGCAACAAGATGTTAGCAAAAGCCTCCTCATGGAGGCTGCTGACCTGAGAAGCAGAGGCAGCGAGTTAACAGGATTCAGGAGTCAATCCACCTCCTGGATATAGAAATGTTCTACTTCAATAACACACAGGTTACAGATTTGCTCCAAGTGGGGTATGTAAGGAGAAAGTTGACAGCTGCACCTAAATTCATAAAATTCATATCATCAACAAGTTATTCCAGTGAATATATATATATATATATATATATATATATATATATATATATAGTTATATATATATATATATGTGTGTGTGTGTGGCTCCTGAACTAAACTTTTGTTGAGGAACACTTTGAGGCAGTCACTAAAATCAGGTAATTTCTGTGATGTTTAAGACATTTTCTGTAAAACTTCAGCACTTGTTGACATGTATGTTGGTTCACTGTTCATGAGGGTATAGGTACTTTAATTTGTCTGGGAAAGTTTGCTTTTTTAGAACAAAAATTCCATATTGGTATTTTATTTTACTAAATTATCATTTAGTAAATTTGTATTTAACAATTTCTGATATTTTTGAAATTTAATAGTGTGAACTGTTAATTTTCTTTATTTGGGAGGGCAGGTAAACTTTGCCCTCAACTATATATATTATGGGTCAGTATTGCTCAGGATGTTGCAATACGATACGCATGACAATACTTGGGTCATGATACAATATTATCCTAATAACTCAACATATACTGATATTCTACCCAGGCAACATGAATGTAACTGATTGTAACATGAATGTAACTGACTGTAAAGATAAAAAAAAACAGAACAGTGCTGAGTATTTTCATCACATATTGATCATTGGATTATTTTTGTTGTTTTAGTAGCCATGTTGTGTCTCTACTATAGAAATGGGCCTGTGCTGCAAATCAAAAGGGATCCACTGTGTCCTCTACTGGAACAGCTGTATGGAAGCAGTGCACTTCCCTCCATTGTTTTTGTATTTTAACATTTTATTTACGAAAAGCAACAATAATCTCGAAGCGGAGAACTTCAGGAAGTCAGTTGAACTTTCTGGTTAGTCTGAGTGGAGAAAGCAGACTGATCAGGGAAGAGTTGGTTGCCAACAATTGATGACTGATTTATTTGCTTAATTCAGGGATAAGGGGGGGTGATGGATCTGAAGGGGTTTGACGCAGCTGGGTTTACAGACTATACCTATTGGTCCAGCAGAATGTGAGATCCGAGAGCGTTGATACTTGGAAGAAGCGTCGTGCTGGAGAGGGAGCAGGCAGGCCATGAAGACTGAGAACTGCAGCACACAGGTGAGACCTTTTCCGTGAAGATCAGAGACAAACACAGGTTCACTGGTTGTCTGGAACAATATTTCTAAATAATGGTTAAAATTAAAAGAGATTCACAAGAAAACAAATATCAACAAGAAGAAAATTGGTTTTGGTCTTTCGCTGGAATACCATCAGGGGTAATCATCCAGCGTGGAGATGATCCTTCGCCTCCTTAGATACATGCTAGTCATTTTTAATGAGATATGTTCCCAGGTGTGCAGCAACTCAGGTCGGCTCAGCAAAGATCCTCTATGTGACAGGAAGCTCACTCACACCAGAAAAACCCCAGACCCCAACATATCTTCACCCCCTCTTAGCTGGGCACATATTTTCTCTTCACTCAATTTCTGTTAATATACATCTTATTTTTATTTTTTAACAATCAATGAAAATAAACAAAAAAAAAAAATTAGAAAACACACAAACATGTTATTTAACATGCCTATTTTACAATTTTTTTAAAAGGAGCAGGTAGAAGATAAAAAAAACCTTTTTTCTGCCGCCTTCATATACCTTAACAATAGCTACATGGTTAAAGCACTCAGAATCACTTTCCACCAATATATATTTATTGCAATATGTCAAATTTAAACTAAATAGCTGAACTTTGATTTATTACTTTTAACCCACAATCCAAAACTTTCTGAACCTTTACATTCAAATAAAATTTCCCTTTCAAATATATTCTAGTTTAAGGTGCAGGGAGAACTACAGCCCAGAATTAATCTATTGAAATTAATAATATATCAACATAGAACAATTTAAATTGGTTAAACACACATTCACAGTAATGTATTAAATTATGAGCGTGATGGTCATTTTTAGTGAAAAATATATTATGGCCATAGAACCATCCCCCACCAGAATAAGTCAAACCAAAAGCACAACACAAATTGAAAAATGCTTTTTATTATTCATCATTTGAATTACAGCAATGTTTTACTTGAGGTCATTTGAAATTTCTGTCTTTGTTCATCCTTAAATACATCATCTTGATGCTGAGAGGAAAAATTATTTTATTATTATTTTAACTGAAATATAATTTAGCTTCAGTTCTTAACAGTCAAATTAAATTCCAATAACATGCTAGAAGCTTTAAAGCACTGCTTGGGTTTTCATTTATTTTCTTTTGCTTCATCTGTGGTACGCCTGGAAGTTACAATAGAAAAAAATAGGCTGAGCATAGACCCCAAAAATTAAAAAGTAAAATCTCCACTCACAGGACACATATGGGAACTAAGAAAATTCTCTCCTTAAAGCAGTGAGTGTGGCCCTTGAACAAAATCAAAACAATCTAAAGGAATTTTCTTTTGCTTGTCATGGAGTTTAAAATGTGCCATTTAAACCAGTTTAGAAATGTGTTAACAGAAAAGCTGCAGAAGTTGCACTTAAGATGAGTTTTGCATCATGTTTTGGGCACACTCCCAACGTCTGCAAACCAGACGCGGCGCATCAAACAGAGCTTGACAGCAGACATCTTGCTGATGCAGCTTAAAGTTTTGGCAGTTTGTTTTAAAGCGCTATAGGAACATTGGGCTGTTTGAATGACGGATATTTTAAAGGAGATCAAAACAAATTTTGCTGTGTAAATCTCTTGCTAACATCGGATAAAGCAAAACCCCAAAAAAATCATGACACATGGAGATGTAGACATAAATGAAGAGCGGTCTGGCTGCACATCCAACCATAACGACATCTACCACACCCTTACAGTGTTCCTGAGGACCAGTTGCTGCAGAAAAACATTGTTTTCTGCCATCTTAATGTTTCCCCAACTGAAAATAGCAAATGAGATACACTCTACAATACAGAAGCTATAAACATAGAAATAAATCAAAACATACATATTTAGCAAATCATTTTTAAACATAAGTACTGCCCACAGGGGAGACGCATAAGGACTGGTTCAATCTAGGTTTTCCTCTACTCAGCACATGCATTAGGAGAATCAAAGACCTTAACAACCCAAATAGGAATAAAAATAAAGGAAAAACAAAAAAACAAAAGGTGACTTCACCCTATGTGACTTATGATTGCCATTTGCAATAGATCTGCTTACAAAATAAAACAAAGCCCTAATTTTACTGTTTTGGGTCAAGTAGGACACAAATTGTTCGTATTATGACACCACAATCTACATCTTTCTTTTTTTTTTGCAAGGCTGGCAGAATTCAAGGCTCAGTTTAGTCCGTAAGATAAGTGGAAGATAGAGAGAGTTCCTCTCTTTTAATCCAGTAAAAGGCAGACTTGACTTCGATGGATAAAAACCATCGCAGTGTCTTTGATGAGTCTGGAGGGCTTGTCTGATGAGTGAACTCTGGAATCCACAGAAAGAATCTCGACACCATGGCTTACTTCATCGGCACCTCCTGCAACACAAAAACAGCCATGAGCACCTCAGAGCTGCCCTGACCGGAAGGCATAATGCATAAGGGCATTAAATCACTTTACCACATTTTATTACATAAAATTCATTTCATTATTCATTGTATTTTGTTTCTGGGAGCCTGTACTGAATGCTTAGTGTGTGAGAACGTTTTTCCTTTTTAAGATTTGTGCAACTGGCAAGACAGTAAACATGTTGTGAAAAAGACATTAAACAGGGACAGCTGGTTCAGAAAACAGAAAAAAACAATAATAAAAAAATATTTAAAAAAATCGATTGTTTGATAATCAATAAGGTGGAATTACTAAAAAAGGGTGTTTTTATTACTTCTTTAAAAAAATAATCTGACTGCAACTTTAAATATAGCTAGGACAGAAAAGTAAAGTGAAGGTAAAATCCCTCTCGCCACTGAGGGGTTTAAAGTTATTTTCATTCAACAGTAAGTACATTTTTTAAATGAGATGAGTTTCTTTGTTATCAACCCAAACATCTTTAGTCGTGCCTCACCAATCTAACTGTTCTTTCAGTTGGAAATCAGCTAAGCTGGTATTTTGACAGCCTCTACATAGGGTTTGCATGGTGTCTATTTCTAATAAGGTTTGATGTTGTGCCGGCAAGGATGAATTCTGATTGGTTAACTTACTACTAGAAAATGTTTTTAATTGTAAATTTTAAGCATCAATAAGCTTCCATTATGAGGAAAATTATGTTCAGGGCTGTATGTCAGTGTTTTATCTAAGAGTAAAAACATATAGCAACTGATTACTAATAACATGATGTAGTGACAGATCTTTTACCTGAGGGTCTTTTGTTTCTTGCACCGGTTGCTCCTCAGTCTTCACCTCAGCAGGAGGAGCAGCGTTGGTCATCTGTGAGCTTCTGGTGACCGGCCCACCTGCTCTGTCCCTCTTTCTGAGGGAGACCCGCTCCTCCTTCTTCACTTGTGGTGTTGGGGGTATTGGTGGAGGTTTGACCTCAGATGCACTCTTGGGTCCTGGCTTTTTGCCCACACGCTGCATTCTCGATGTTGGCCGTTGTGCTGTGTCACTGGGAGTGTCTGGGGCTGGGGGAGGCGGAGGGAGAGCCTGAGCTTGGCCCTTTTTGGGTTTTTTGCTGGGGGCAGAGATGGGCGCAGAGAGGGAGGCAGGCCTTTTTAATCGTCCGACCGCAGTGGGGGGTTTTCCTTTGCTTGCCTCGCTGGATTCAGGCTCTGCTGCATTCAAACTACGGGCTCTCCTCTTTCCTGGAGGTTTAGCCTCTTGCACCGTTTGCCCATCATCCTCTGAAGCTTTCTTCTTGTTTGCGTTTTTATCCACTAAAGAAACTGCCTCTTTTTTAACTTCTGCCAAACCTTTCTTGCCCTTTTTAGGAGCGACAGGTTTCATCGGACAGCTGATGAGCATGTGTTTGTTCAGACTGGCTGTGTATGTGAACTCCCGGCCACAGTGGGGGCAGAGGTTAGAGAGCACCTCCTCTTCCGCTTTGACAGCAGCCTTCTTGGCGGTGCTGACGGATTTATTTTTCTGCGAGATCGCCTTCTGCACCAATTGGTTTTTCTTCTTACTCAGGGCGCTCATTTTCGATTTCCCCGTGTCCTGATTGAAGTTGAGCTTTTTCGGCTGCCCCATCCGACGGTAAGTACTCTGACCTGCCACAGCCACGGCCTCTGCTGCCGGTTCAGCTGCTGCTGCGGACAACACCACCCCGTTTGGGCTCCTTACTATTTGTTTTAGAGGAATAGGGTTTTTCTTGGGAGTGTAACGCTTCTTATCGCTTGCGTTGGCACAGACCAGTATGTGCTTGTGTAGCTCGGGCATGTTGTCAAAGCTGTTGCCACACTTGGTGCAGCGAATGGCGGTGCTGAAGGTTTGCGGGATGTTGTGAGTAGTGAAGTTGGTGGCAGAGGCCACTGAGCCAGAGTGGGAACGGCTATGGTAGGGGAAAGGTGGTGGCTTATAACTGGGATAGTGTTGATTAATGCCAAGTCGAACGTCTGGACCTTTAGGCTTCCCTCCCTCTGAAGCCATGATCTTTATTGTAGTGTACAGCTCCACGTTGGGGTCCTCCGTGGTATTACCGTTTACATCAGCCTCCTCTTTCGCTATTGATTCATTTTCATTTGGGGTTCCTGGCACCGGTGTCGAGGGAGCACTCTCCTCTTTGGCTCTGGATGGATCAGTGTAATTCTGTGGCCTGAGCTTGCCGCTCTCTACAGTAGTATGCGTGCACGACTCATTGGGGTGCAGGTCTTTTTGGTGCTGATGGAGGTTACAGAGGAAGGCAAACTCTTTGGAACAGACAGAGCACAGGAAGATCCGGCCCACCCCATGTAGCGTGGTCCTGTGGGCTAGCACATCTACCTCGTCTCTGAACAGCTGGACACAAAACTCGCATTTAAAGGGCCAGTCCACCGCGTGATTCGTGATGTGGCCGCTGAGCTCTTTGATAGAGTCAAACGGCTCCTCACAAACGTTGCACACGAAGGTCTTACAATACGACGAGTCGGGTTCCTCTGCCTCTGGGGATTTATCAGACAGTTTATTGAGAGCAGCAGGCTGAGGTGAGGAGTCAGCAGCCACATGAGGTGAGTGGTTGGCAACTGACAGGTTGTCCTCAGAGAGCAGAGGTTCTTCTTTCACTTTAATCTGAGAAAGAGGCTGCATATCTGCTGCTGGAGATGACTTGTGTGACGCAAGAGGAGCAGCTTTGGAAGATGATGGCAGTTCTGCTTGAGGGGAGACGGCAGCAATGTCCGCTTGCACAGAGGTCTCTGTTTCAGTATCCTGGGTTAAGCTGCCATTTGTTAGACTGTCACAAACTGAAGGAGGAGGAACGTAAACATCTTCCTCAGCAGGAAGATCTACTGATGTAGGCCTAGGAGGACTTGGTGCTACCGAGTGGCTCATTGGGGTTATGAGTGGAGTGCTTAGGTCATCCTGTGGTTCAGAATTACGGCTCTCCTCTTCATCTTTGTTTTCCTCAGCTGAGAAGATTTCAATAGTTTGCGATGGAGCCTTAAGTTCATCAGATTTTGGAGACATTTTTGGTGAGAGGATAGGAAGGGGTCTCTGTGCAGGGGAATCCGGAGGCTGCGGAGAGCCAGGTAGCGTTGGAGGAGATGGCATGGTGGGGAGGACTGGAGGAGGCGGCGTTGGAGAGGTTACACTGGAGGAGCTGGGCGAAGAGGGGTTTATGGTGACCGGGGTTAGGGAGGGTGGAGATGGGTGGGCGGACTCTGACGCAGTATTTGGTGACTGAGTACGAAAACAGTTTAGGATTCCAAGACTCGAAGGCCCCTCCTCTCCTGATACGGTTTGACCCACATACTCATTCATTAGCACTTTTTCCAACATACTAGTGTTTGGCTTTTTCTTTTTTATCAGGGACTGCGTTGCTGGAGTTCCCTTTAAATCTGATTCTACTGGCGCTTTCCGATGCACGCTTAAATCCAGAGCTGAATCTCCGGTGGCCTGGTTCGTAACTTCGCTCCGCCTGCTGACAGAGCTGGACAGATCCAAGGGCAGCTGATTAAAGGAGCCTCCTCCACCGCCAGCAGAGGCTTGATTTCCGAAGGAGCTCAGAGAATCCCCTCCATCCTCGTCCAGTACGCTTTCAGGAGGCGGGACACTGTGGCTTTCCAGCTTTGGCACTTTGAGGATGTTTCCACCTGTCGCCTCAGCATTACAGCTTTCATTTTTTGCTGCAGGACTGAGCTGTGGGGATGAAGGCGGAGAACCCGTCCTCCTCTTATACGTTCCTTTAGCACCTGAAAGCGTAGCCAATCTGTGGCTCTCTGTAATAAGAGCTATTGTTGATTTTTGGAAGTCTTGTGTCTGAAGGAGCTGTTTGAGTTTAGGTGAAAGATAAATGGTTTTCTCTCTCTGAAGGGTTGAGGAATCTTGGTGGAAGAGTCCTCCCATCAACAAGTTGGATGAGGAAGATGTAGATGATGAAGGTGACAGAGCCATTTCTGTCTCCACTTTCAGACCACTAACTAGAGGGGGTGTTGATGTCCTCCTTTTTGCTGCAGGCTGTTCATGGCTTGGGACCGGCTTTGCGGCACCTCTGGCCTCCACCTTCAGTGCTTGGCTAATCTGATTTGGGCTGATAATGACTGTGTCCAGCCCAAACAAAGCTGCTGACCTCGTGTCCACCTCTATCACCTCACAGTTGCTCGCCGCACTCGTTGACACAATCTTGCCGTCAATGTAAAAGCTGAGATTTTCGGAAATGTTTTTAGATATGTCAACGGCGTAATCGTCTCGGTCTGCCTCGTCCTCTGTGTCCGCACTGGGCATGTAGACGGGAGGGGGGCTGGTGCTGGGGGACCCTCCTGCCTGCTGCACTGATGCTTCCTGCAGCAGCATGCCTTTCCTACGAACTCCTTTGGGTAGTAAGTGCCGTTCGTGTATTCTGCGTTGATGTCTGCGCATGTTGGTGTGCGTACCAAAGGCTTTATTACAATACTTGCAGGGATGGAGCTCCTTTGACTCCCCGTTTTCATCAAACATTGAAGGACGATCAGCATGGGGTCCCAACTCCTTTCTCTGCATTTCAGAGTTTTGTACTTGTCCTCCAGTAAACTGAGACCCTATGGCTATATACTGACCGGTTGGGCTAGTGCAGTCAGGACTCAAATCGGCCTGCACTGCAGGACTGAGGAGGCCAGGGAGGCCAGCTTGGGAGCTGAGTATCTTTTTTGATCCATTTTCATGTCTCCTTTCATGCCGTCGACGCCCTACTTGTGAGCTGAAAGGCTTATTGCAGTATCGGCACTTATAGAGTTGTGCTTGTTGGTTGCTGATGCCATGAATGTGTATATGGCGCTCCAGACCCTGTCTGGAGGTGAAGTGGCGCTCACAGTGGTCACAGGGATATGATTCTCCAGGTAGGTCTTCCTCAAGCTCCCCATCGGGGTCATGCTCTGGATCTCCATCCCCCTGTGCGAGCAGAGGACTTTCCTGTGGTTCTTTATGGCTTTCTCCGCTTGCGGATAGTGCCGGGCTGGACTGCTGCGATGATTGCTTGGAGGTTTTGTGCTGCATTTCATGTGCATTGTCATCATTCTCTTCTTCTTCTTCTTCCTCGTCCTCCACCTCCTCATCATTTTCCCGGTCCATCCCTGCTGCTGAAGTGTCCTGCAAAAGCTTGTGGTTTGTGTTTTCTGAAGGATGGGCTTCATAGAGTTCCTGAGAGTTCCCTGATGGTCTCTCACCCTCCTCCTTCAGACCTGCGTTAAACATGTCAGAATGGTGTTTGGTAAATAAATATAGGACAGTAGTAAAGTTATAATTAACAAACAATTGCTAGGATAATGAATGAATGAATGAATGAATGAATCCTTACCGTCTCCCCCCTCCCACATTTCCCTGGCAGTAGTTTTGGTTCCACTTGCTTTCTTGAATCCACCCAAACCAGACTGTCTGGCTTTCTCCACCAACTTTTTTCTGGCTGCAAATGAACACACACACACACACACCGCTCTGTGTGAGTCATGATCATAACACAGGTTATCAAAGAAAAGACCTCAATTATTTCCTTAACTAAATACATTTAATGATTCTAACTAAATTTACAGATATTTGTAATTCAAAGATAAATTCCTACAATAACCCAAAAGCAGAAAGTTTTCTGCAGTCACTGTAACATCACAAACCTTACAACACCCTAAATGTAAGTGGGTTTCTCTTACAGCTTCTGGATATGTAAATGGAGATGTGTGGTATGGATTTAGAATACATAACATTTCAGGATTTACAGAAAACATTTAAAGAAATATTTTATGCAAATATATTGCATATAGTCAGAGCTTCAGAACAAGGTACTGCTTTAAAAATAAAACTTAACCATTACTGAATGGTATGTTTCACAAAAAACAGACTAGGAATGAAACAATCGGATTAATCGTGATTAATCGATTATTGAAATAATCGTCAACTAATTTAATAATCGATTAATCATTAAATGGAGCATAGAGAGTCTAAAACAAGATTTTATTTAACAGAGCGACCCACTTTTCATCCCTCAATATGCTCTATCCAGAACTCCTCTAGTGGAAATGTTGTAGTTTATCATGGTTTAATTTCATTAAATTATATTCTTTAAGGAACCCTTGGCTATCCTATTATTAATCGAAAAAATAATCAATAGATTAAGTGATTTGCAAAATAATCGTTAGCTGCAACCCTAAAACAGTGCAAACTAAATTCAGAGGCGTGACAATGCGACTTAAAGCACTATTCATAGCTTTTATCCGTATTTTGAAAGGTAAAATGCAGCCTTTATTTATGTTCAATGAACAGCTCAGGTACTAAAACCATTAAAGCATCAATTACGAACAACATCACAAGATGGCTCATTTTAACAGTAACGATATGAGCCCATCCCTATTGTGAGGCAAACTGACATTTGATAGTCAATAGTCAAATATTTCAAGAGATTAGGACTAACAGTGATGACAATAAAGCAAGGAGTCATTTTGGTGAGTGACAAAACAATAATTAAATGTCAGTGTTGCACATATTGATCAGTGAGTGGTTATTCTATTAAAACAAACTTTTCAGGTCTGTTCATCATCAAGATTCACTTAAATATTTCACTGTTTGTCACCAACAGTGACTGAAGGCTGATCCCTGCTGTGTCGTGGACACTTCAGGGCAAACTTTCAGTATCTTAGTTTATAAGAGCTTTTAAGATGCACAGGCAATACAGTGGCACCCCGTTTGGCAGAGTCTATAATTAACCTATAGGGAGATTTTGGAGATTATACTTTAAAAAAAAACTTCCCGTAATTCATTGCAATCCTTTAGGTGATATTTGATCTTATGACACCATCCTAGTAGAGTTATCCCACTCCACACATAACTAAAATAACATAATTGAAGCTAGACTTAAACTTGTGATTTGTTGTATTCTAATAAAGGAAACCGGAGTTCTCATCTTAAATAGAGTAGTATTAAGCCTTGCATTAATGTTGCAAGAAAGTGAGTGCATCTATAATGGTGATTATCTGAGCTCATGCTGAATAGTTGAAAAAACTGCCAGGCACAAGCCAATTCCAATGCAATATATCCACCGACATTCCCACATCCTGTTTTTCAGTTTCCGGTTTAACAGTTTCAGGGATGCACAGGGATGCACAGGGACTGTTTTTCAGTTTCAGGGATGCACTCTAATACTAAATACTAAGTTGCAGCTACAGGTACATACCACCCTGAATAATATTGTGTCACCATAGGTTTTGCTTTCCTCACACATGGATATCTAAGGGATACCCGCTGCTCTGGAAGCTTTTTACAGATGTTTATTTTGGTTATCTGCCGTCTTCTTTTTGCTTTTGTAATGCTTTCCTCTCATCTCATACAGGTGTGGAAGCAGACTTGTAGGAGTTACTGTTTAACATCTGTGTTGTCTATTTTTGCTCTTTTATTTTCCATTTTCATGCACTCTTTCCAGTTTCTCTCGTTCCCCCTTTCTCCCCATAGTTCTTATCCCCTCTTTCTTTCTCACCCCCCTTCCCATCTTCAGCTCCGTTGTATAAAATTTACTCCCTAAATCATTTTCAATAAACTTTTATCTACAAGTAACAAGTGGAACATTATGGCAACAGTCAAAAGTGTCTGCTTGTGAAAGCAAAGCTGTTTGGTTATCATCTAGCTCTTGGAGATCTATTCAAAGAGCTATAATGGCAGAACAGGACTCACACAAAAAAGTGTGCTCCTTTAGTGTTGCCACCTTTCACACCTCCCCTCTCTGCAGTGGTTGGATCACATTAGAGAACAAAACTTAGCTACAACACGTTAGCTACAGCACATATTTGTCAAAAGATGCGTGAGGACAACTTATATTTCCTAGCAGCTTTAACCAAAAGTTAACATGAAAGTATCCTCACATTATTTACATCATACTAGATGAATAAGGAGAGCAGGAAGTAGCTTGAAAATATATTACATTACAATCAAATGACTGCGTGAAAGGGCTTACTGCCTCCAGGGCTTTAGGGAAAGAGTCCTGCAATGAGAGAGGTATCAAAAACAACTGCTGGTCCCTAGATTGAATGGGCAAATATGTTAATTTAGAGCCATAAAGCCTAAAACACTAAAAGGTAGAGAAAATAAAAGAAAAACCAATCATGGTCAGTTTCTATTGCTTTTATAACTAGATAAGCAATTTTAAAAACCTGCGCTGTCAAAAATAATTTGCCTTGTAGTCACACCTCTCTCACAAACAGGAAGTGAGTACTAGGTTTGAACAGTGATGTAATTTTCATCTGAACTACATGACAGATTGTTACTCATAGGACAGGAATCTGCTTTCTTAATTTCAATCTTTCTTACTGATGTTTAGGGGTTATTGACAAGACAGAAAATAGTGGAGTACAGACTTTTGTGACAGAGATTAGGAAAAGAAACAAGAGTAAACATCCAAAACCACAGAGGCAACCAAAGCTGTTGCTTGTGAGACAAAATTTGAAAATAACATTTTCAGACAACATCCTCTTTCAGTTAAAAAGAGACATAAAACAAGAAAAACAAACACCTGCTCTCCTTAGCTTAACCCTCTTCATTATAGCTGTGCTCTTTTCTCGATGTCTGAGCCGAATGAAAATGAGTGCGTTTGATCCCAGCTAGTGTCCGATTCTTCCACAATTATGTGAAGCATTAACTGGAAGTGACTATCCATGGTCAAATATTATGTTCCTGTAAGGAAACCAGCTCGATTGGACTTGAGCTTGAGTGTCTGAAACGAATGTTGTTTAGGCAGCTACATTACCAAAGAGTAGAAAAACATTCAAGAATAAATCATAAATGTATAATGAGGAAAAAAATAACACAAGTGTGAAACCAGCGAGAATGCTGAAGGCTATTCTGGTGACAAAGATGGTGGTTGTGGTGTGCAGACACATGCTTTCTAAGATTAAGCTTAACCCATTTAAGAATAAAAATACTAGTAAGAAATTAAGCATAAATTGCGTCTATCTCAACACTACCAGAACTGTACTACTGGTTAATTTACAGCTTTCCTAAAAGTACCAACATTACTATGGCATTAAACGATAGGTACAGTATTAAAAGCAAACTAGGCTCGCCAAAGAGCTTTCCAATCCCTCCAAAGGGTGCCCGTTTGTTAGGTCTCCAAACTGCTCTTATCAGACATTGTTCCAGATTTTCTCCTCCTCACTACAGAACTTGCCATTTAAACACTTCAGATCACTACTTTGGTCTTAGATTGATGTTCAGCATCCCAAATCCAGAAAATCCCTTCTTTAACATAATTCTGACTACATTCTTATTTTCCCTTGTTTGAGTATTTCTGCATTATATTCATAGAAATTCCTACACCTAAAATAACCTACAGGCTTAAAAACATCTTAATGAATTTAGAAGATAGCAGATAATAGTGAAACTTTTACAAACTATTTTCTTGAAGCTTCTTTAATATATAGGACTTTAACTTGAAAGAAAACATACATAAAGGAGTCTAGGAAAAGGATGATTACATCCCCTTTAACAGCATTTATTTTTGCTTTAAAGGCAACAAAGCAGGATTTATATCACTAAATATATATATAATTACATGATAGCACAGATAGTCGGGTATCCTAATAGCTGTAGGGCAAAGGCTGACCTACAGAGGGCTAATGTATGACTGAAATAATCTAATGATGAAGGACAACTTATTGGGAAGAAAGGCTCCACAGTTCCAGCTTTCTTCTCCGAGTTAACACACTACTTTGCTTTATGGAAACACATGTTCAAAGTTCAAACTGGTGAATGTAGTAGCACATGACAGCCAAGTTGGATGTGTTTACACTAAATGTGAAACAGAGCTAACAACATAACCCGCATATTTTCACTAACCTCGATCGAGTTCCTTAAATAACATGAAACTGTTATAAACAGACGTAACGAAAATATATATATTAAAATGCATATATATAGACCTACATACCTGAGGCATTGTTTGTCTCCTCTAACTTGAATCTATTGCTATAAAAAATGAACCTAAATCAACCGATTAGAGACATATTGAGTAGATTTTGACTGAATTAAGTGCGACTTCATCCACCCAGTTTACCATCTGCTCCTCCACACCGAGATGTCCGTGCGTCCAGACCTAGCCGTTTATTTTAGCTTTAAGCTAGCAATCAACTCTGACAACTCGATGAGCTGCTTATTCTGGACCGAAACCACGGACAGCACCGAGCCGAACTCACTACACAGCCCTTCGTTTTGTTTAAAAAAAACAGCAACCGAATACGTGAGCCCAAACAGTCGGATAAGGAAGCTGGCTCGTTAGCTAACTCGCTAGGCCATCATCAAGTAGAGAGCGATGGATGAACCCAGGAAGGTCACATCCTCAACAACGTTGTATCCTGCTAAGGGAAAAAAAAACCCTCAGAAACTCTTCTAACAGTCAAATATGACCATTAAACCAACTCTGTTGGACTACGGTGGCCAAACCGGGTTGTAATGACGAGTTTTTAGGTGAGGTATAAAAGTAGAGAAAGCCCCATACATCGTACGTTAGCTTCCTTTCTGTTCTAGCCTGCTAGCTCGTCATTTCTAACTTTGAAATGAGTTACGGATTAAACAAGCAAAGAGTTGAAGCTTCAGCGTGGCTCGGTGCTCAGGCCTCACCTCGTTTCGACCTGGGTGAGCTCCTTCTGCTGGCTCTTTCTTCCTCCAGTGCAGCTGTTATCTCGGGGTTGTCTTCCACTGTGTACCACACCAACAGCTCCTCTCCCGGTCCGATAGGCTGCAACGATGAGAGATGAGCCCGGCGACCAATCACAGCTCGGCTTGCTGGGAGGCAGCGCTCGCGCTTAAGGACTGCTGTGCATCTAATCTGTCTTATAACGCTTATGGAACCAGGTTATTAATGATCCCACCAGAGCTGCTGTTGATGTCTCTAGATAGTTCTTAGAATGAACAACAACAGAGCATTTCAGACTTTATCATACAGGTTTAAATTCATTTAGAGTGAGAAAAACACAGGGAAGTTAGTGCAGAGTTAGGACACAATATAGTAAGAGGAGTAGCCAGAAAATTTTTATACGGCAATAACCAATGTACACTGAAGGGTGGCCAAAAACTGATAGGCGCCAGAACCTCAGGGACAATCTAAACTGGAACGAACACAACATCCATATTTTCTCCAAGGTATCCAAGGGATACCCTTGAATATCTTTTCCATTGTCATTACGTACCTACTTAAAATTGTTCTGCATAAAATTAATATTTACGTGGACTAATATCTAAATTAAGTTATTATTAAAGTAGTTATTTATCTATGATTTCACTGAAGACTCCTAGATGACTTGCAGAGACGCATAATTTTCTATTTACCCCATATAACACAAAATTTTGTTCTGAAGAGAGCATGAATTTTGTATATATCAACTTTAATATTACTATTTTGATGTGCATAATTAACCACAGTGTTTTAGTTGTCAAGTAATTGCTAATAAATGAAAAATTTAAATGTTTAATAAGTTTGAACATTCCCCTTGAGAGCATTACTGTCTGTATTGGGGGGGGGGGGGGGGGGGGTTGGCCGATGATTGGCTAAGGGCCACCTCTGGCCCCCCCATCTAGCTCCGCCCCTGGCCAAAGTAGATAGGTTTGAGTTTCCGGGCGAATCTTGGGCGATCTTTTCCATTGTCATTATTTAGCTACTTTTATCAGTAAACATTCTGCCTAAAATTGACATTTACAAGTAGTAATATCTACATAAAATGATTATGTAATAAGTTTTATTAAAATTGTTATTTATCTATGATTTCACTGAAGGCTCCTAGATGACTTGTAGAGACACATAATTTTCTCTTTACCCAATAAAACACAAAATCTATTTCTGCTTGAATTCTGTACTTATCTTTAATGTTACTATATTGATGTGCACAATTAACCACAGTGTTTTTGTTGTAAAGTAATTAATTATTATTAATTATTAATATTTGAAAAATTAAAATGTTTGAATATTCCACTTGAGAGTATTACTGCTGCCAGCATCTGTATTAGAGGGAAATAAATGGTAGGGGTGGCCAAAGAGGTGGCCAATGACCATGGCCACCCCTGACCCCCCATCTAGCTCCGCCCCTGAATATAGTGTCTTGTGAAAGTATTTAGGAAGCTTGAGCACTTCATTTTTTGTCACCTTATAGCAGCAGATCTAATGGGGTTTATGTTATATTGTGTCCAAGCACTACCCAGTGTTAAAACAGAACATGCACAGTTTTCAGAAACATTTAAAAACTAATATTATGTGCTTTTGTAGTCACCCACAATCAGTCCACATTTCATGGAACATATTTGGCTGTGGTTAGAACTGCACAGCAGTTTAGGATGGAGGATATTTGTAAACCTTAGTTTTTAAGCGTTGCCTCTTCAATTTCCCACCTGAACTTTGACTTGGCCATTCTCAGTGAACAATAATGCTCTATTTAAAGTTTTTGTTTCATTCTTAACTAATAAAAGTATTCACACATCATGATGCTGTCTCCACCATGTTTTCAGATGGAATTAGATGCCCAAGGGGACCTACAGCATTTTCTACCACATGTAAGGTTTTTGCAAAAAGTCCAGTTTAGTTTTGGTCTCCTCTGATCAAACAAGAGCATACCCATTGTTTAATCTACATAGATTGCAGCAAACTATAAATAGCACTATTTAAGCTTTTTCTTCTAGTTGTTCTCTAACGGGCTGCAAAATTGTAGAAAAACGGGGGTTATATTATCATGTTGGTAAAAGTTGTAATAACTATCTAATGTAAAAAAAATAAAGTATATATATATATATATATATATATATATATATATATATATATATATATATATATATATATATATATATATATATATATATATATATATATATATATATATATATATATATAAATACATGTCACTGCTTTCCTCAGCAGGGACAGGGAAGATGGTTAAAATTGATGGGAGGCCAAATACAGGACCATTCTGGAAGAAAACCTGTTGGAGTCTGCAAAAGATCTGAGACTGGGATGGAAATGTATAATCCAATGCTACAATGATCCAAAGCATAATGGAAAATATACATTGGAATTGTTCACAAATAAATATATCCAGATTTTAGAAATGGCAAGTCAAAGTACAGACTGGAATCTAATTGAGAATCTGTGGAAAGAACTGAAAACTGCAGTTCACAAATGCTCTCCATCCAACCTCACTGAGAGAGACATTCTCCAAGGGACTTGCTGTTGTAATAGCAGCAAAAGGTGGCGCTACACAGTATTAACTCAAGGGGTCTGAACAACTTTGCACACCGCCTTCCTCCTGGCAGGACTGGTGTAACTGGGTCAGTTTTGTAGATCTGCTTACAATTCACAACTTTTCAGCTCTGCATGCATGATTCTGAGATGTCACAATAAAAATATAATAAAAAAAAAAAATCAGACCTTACTGCCTGTAGGCTTCTTCCTAATGAATTTGTCCCAAAGCTCTAACTTTCAGGCTGCTGTCTTGCAATGCTTTAATACATCCATATAATTGGGGAAAGTGATCTTTCCCCAAACTGACCCAAAACAAAGTACGCATCTATTTGGTTAAAGGATGCATTTTAATGTAATAAGCTTCTGGATTGCTTAATTTATCAATTCACTTAGGAATCTACAGTGTGGCGAGACACACGTATAAATGGATTTAACTTACCCTCAAAACTTTGTAGTAAATGGCTCTGTTTATCTCCAGTGGAAACAGATTTTGCTCCTCACTGGAATGGGCCCAGTTCACGTATCGGAGCCAGTTCCCCTTCAGGGGGTCTGTGGCATCAATGCACATCCATCCCCGAGCTGGAAAATAGACCTACAGAACACCATCAAGATGACTGTGTTTACTGCAAGGCCACCATGAGGAAATAAAAGATAAAAATAACATTTGAATAGTAGAAACTGAAACATTATTTAGGACTTTAACCCCAAGTTGTAGTCTTGGGGGTGTGAACAAGTAATAATTTAACCTTCAGGAAATACAGCTAAATGGAGACTTGTAGCTTGATTGTCATTTTGATTGTCATTGTCAAGGAAGCCGTCCTACTAGTTTTTAATGTTTCTCAGCTTTAGTGCAGCTGATTCAGGTTATGGCAGTTCAGCAAAAACCTGTTGATCAGCCATCAATGGAAATCAGCTGTGCTAAAGCAGGGAAACCTCTAAAACCCGCAGGACAGCTGCCCTTGATGGCCGACTTTAGACATGTCTGGCCTAGGCACTGATCTCTACTTATTCACTAGACTGTTGATAGATTGAAAAAAATGAAGTAATCTGTCGCCATCTTAGTAAGTAATGTAATTACCATAACAATGTAATCATTACATGCATATTACGTGTACATCATCAGTTTAGCACATGTGACACATAATCAGATAGTGTGTGTGTATGTAAGTGTAATATTCTTAAAGGAATAGTACACCCAAAACATGATTAGCCTTCATTTTCTACTCACCCCCATGCTGAACAACACTCTGGAGTACTTTTTTGATATCTCAAATGCATCTGGAGATCTGGGAGGCTTCTTGCTGTCTGCTGACATTAAAATAATGGAGGTCTATGGTGTCTGAGACAGAAAGGTCCATAAAAGTCCACAAAAAACGTGTCAATATTCCTACATACTGCTCGTCCAATGTATTCCAAGTGTCCTGAGTGGGTAGCATCCAGAATTTACTCGAAACGAAGTCATTTAGAATGTTTTTAGAGCATAAACAGTAGTGTATAGGATTTCCTGAAAGCGCGCGCCTGCGAGTTCACGACGCTACGGAAACCGCGGCAGACCAAACCAGATGAAAGTGCGCATTCAGCTCGGCAAAGAACTCATGTTCTTCCTCAACACTGAAGTCCTCAGACATTTTTCTTTCGTTGTTTCTTTCTTTGCACAGGTAAACAGCACATTTCTTCTTCTACGCTTGCATTATCGGCAGAGCAGACGCTGAATGCGCACTTTCATCTGGTTTGGTCTGCCGGCTTCCGTAGCGTCGTGAACGCGCTGGCGCGCGCTTTCAGGAAATCCTACACACTACTGTTTATGCTCTAAAAACATTCTAAATGACTTCGTTTCGAGTAAATTCTGGATGCTACCCACTCAGGACACTTGGAATACATTGGACGAGCAGTATGGAGGAATATTGACACGTTTTTTGTGGACTTTTATGGACCTTTCTGTCTCGGACACCATAGACCTCCATTATTTGAATGTCAGCAGACAGCAAGAAGCCTCCCAGATCTCCAGATGCATTTGAGATTATCAAAAAAGTACTCCAGAGTGTTGTTCAGCATGGGGGTGAGTAGAAAATGAAGGCTAATCATGTTTTGGGTGTACTATTCCTTTAATATCTGATCACTGTATTATTATGTTCCATTAGCACACTGATTTTGTTGTGATGGATTTGTATGTTATATTACATTATTTATAGACTTGGACTTCATACTGAAAATTCAATGTGATGTGCCTATTTTTTCTTTACCATAATCTACCGATCCTATGAAACAGCAAGTGTGTGTTAAAGTAACGCATTTATGTTTGTTTAAAAGTCTTGAGCCCCCCAAAATGAGACAATCATCATTGTTTGATGCTGTAGTGCATTGACTACTTATATTCCGACCAATTTATCTAGAGAGTACCAATATGGCGGCTGGTGACTTCACAGCACTCAGTACTACCAACGGTCTATCAGCAATCCAGAGAATAAATAGAGACCAGTGGGTCTAAGGTGTTGCACATCCTTATAGAAATAACTTGGATGCCTACAAACCCAGTTGAGGCCCGACAAACTGATGCTGTGGTTACATACCTCCCACATGTAAACATTACTGGTCACCTGGCACCTCTTTTTCTTCTCTCCAAGAAACGGACCAAACCGTTTCCCCTTTGGAATCACCTTTGTTGCCCAAACACCTAAAAATACAAAATCATAAAGATTGGTTTTAATGAATGTGTGTTAATCAAAGATGTTGTTCTTACGTTAACATGTGAGTTAGTAATGGCGATGTTGCGTCATATGAGTAACATTTTGCTACGTCAGAGCAATTCGAAAAAAGCCAAAAGCTTCTTTGTGAATTTTAGGGAGTTTATTTGAATTTTGCCTTATCTGATGCAATACTTCAAAATGCACATAAGAAAAAGTTGACGTAAACACACTAAGAGTCTACTGAGAATCTGTGAAAGGAGATGCTGATTAGGGTGATGGCAGGGAGGCCTTCCAACACCACAGCTTGGACAAAGATAAATTGGCAGAATACCAGTGGAAAAGAGAAGCGCTGCTCAGTAATTATCAGAAGGCTTTAACTGCTTTGAAAAAGCAAAAATTTGTTTCATTGATTAGTTTGATACAATTTTGTTTAAGAGGGTGAATAATAACTGATACTTTGACATCTTTTTAAAATCTGTCTAAGTAAAGATAGACTGATACATAAGCCAGATAAAATTCTTGGCTGAATGTTGTTGGTTGTTTATTGCATCAGTATTGGCCGATATCTTCATATGTTGATTAATCCATAAGAGCAGTGGTTTTTAAACTAGGATTCACTCTCCCTATGGGTGGTGTAGTGTAACTGCAGAGGAGCCTGGTAGAAAATGAATTGACTCAAAAAGACCCAAAATTGATTTTTTTTTTTATGTTTTATTTATAGCAATGTTGAATTATTTTATACAATAGAATAAGCAGTTAAGCTTAAAATATTTGCATGTTCAATGCGGTTGTTTTAGCAATTTAGATCAGATGATAGTTTATTTTATTACAATATTTAATCTATTGCTGTTGACTTTGTTGTTTTTTTTTGTTCAAAAATTGAAAAAGGTTAGAGTGGGATTAGAGATTGACGGGGGAGCAAAAACTTTATTGTAAACAAAATGGTTAGTGTACGAACCACTGCATTGGTAAGCAGCCATGCCTTGAGACCATGTGAAGCTCACGTATTGCGGCTCCCTCCATTTGCTGTACGTTGTTTGTGTTTAGTTTAATTTCTTACTAAATTTTATTTTTTTTGTTTAAGTTGAGAGTTGTGTCACATTTGTTATCATTGTGTCTTTTTCATTAATTAAATGGATGCAAAAAGGCAATATCGGGTCCAAAAATCAGCTCAAAATTACCGGCAACACATATCGGACGATCGTTTGACTGATGTCAAAATAATCACATTAGACTTTAAAAGAAGAAAATAACTGTATCAGTTGATTTCTACTAATTCGCAATCTGAAACAAAATTATTGGCTGAAGGAAAATCATTTCTAATTCAGATTTATCAGAGATATGAATAATTTGGGCCTAAACAATGGAACTTCTTGCAGTAAATTCTGACACATTTCTCATTCATTAGATTCTTTTAAAGTTCTGGCTTTTAAAATAATCTTGACCAGTCACTGCTTTAAGCACTCCTTTAATTGCTATGCAGCATCCATATGCAAACAGAATTTATAGACATGCTGAACTATATGAAAACATGGAGGAGTTCAAAAGCTCACCAATGCGGTTGGGATTTACAGCTGATGGTCCAAGATTCAGGTAGTCTGGCAAACCATCCCACACATGAGCAGGAATTTCCTCCAGACACTCCACTGACTCCCCAGTAAAAGCCATGATTCTCACTAAATGATACAAGAGTGAAAGGGGGCAAAAAAGAAAAGATCTAAATTTACCTAATTTATCTTGATATAAGACTTTAAATGTAAGAGGTTTCACCTGCAGAGGTTTAAAGAGCAAAGGGTGGCAAACTTTTTTACATGAGCCACGACAGAAAAGTTAGTTTACACAAATTTTCAGGGTGCATTCATCTGTTTCACAGCCATTCTAACAGATCAAAAATAAAGATCAAAGATAAAAATCTGCAATTATTTTAGACCATTAATAGTCAAAGCCTAATATTAACATCCATGAGAAAAAATTTCAGTTTTGTTCCCAATATATTCATTACTCTATCCAAATTAAGAAGTTTTCATGCAGGCTCACCAATTATTTGAAAATATTAGAAGAACCCTGAATAATTTTACTACTTTCAAAGCTTCAGGTTATTTTTCAACACTTGAGTTAAACAGAGACACACTAGACCCTTTTTTAAGGAAACACTTTAAACACCGCTACCTTGTGTAACACTATTTAAAAAAAAAAGCACTTCCAAGAAGAAACATCTTCAGAAAGCAAACCTCAACAACTCTGAATGTAATGCCCCTTAAGGCATTAAGTCCATTTTCTAAAGTAGTATATTCAACTGTAAAAAGTGCGTATATGTTTAGACAGCCATCACCACTCAGGACAATAGTTCATTGAAGTAACAACTGCAGCTCCAAATCCTTTCGGGAATGTTTCTACCAGGTTTGCAAACAGAAATGACAAATTCTTCCCTATTCTTTGCTAAACAGCTTCAGCTCAGGAATATTCCTCTCTGCCAAGTATGTGTACCTCAGCTTTAGGCTTGTATTCCTATAGCCTCAGAGAAATGCATGCTGTGTTTGTTTTTCACATAGATAAAAGTTGCATGTTGGTCTTATCTAATCAGAGCACCTTCTTTCATACAGGCTACATTTGAGGATGTCCTGGTCCCTCTGAGCTCTGGATCTATGCAGCTCTTCCAGAGTTACCATTACTCTCTCTTCTGCTTCTTAAAGTCAGTGTTGTAGTTTGGGATTTTGATTCATAACATAAATCTGCTCCAACCCTTTATAAATGCATGCCTGACCTGTGTGGTGTATTCCTTGATTTTCATGATGCTGTTAGTTCACTTATAAATCTGAGGCTGAAGCTGGAGAAGAGCAGATAATATATTAGACACAGTAATTTGACTCTATTTACTGATGCACTGACTACTACAGGACAACCAGGTTTTATTTAGGGTACTTGAGTAAATTAGGCTTTTTATATTTTTTATTGACAGTAATAAAAATCAAAAACTCCTCCAATAGGAATCAGTTCAGGTTGCTCTTAATCCCAAAAAAATACGTAGGGGGCTTTGATCTTTAAATTTTAACTTGACACAAGTCTTGTATGACTTTTAAACCAATGACACAATCGAAGCGAATATCTACGGTGGCCACATGCTCATCCACAGACCAAATTAAGACTAGATTTACCAGGGGTGCCATGATGTGGTCAGTATTTTTTACATGGGGCTCCTAAACAAGTAAATTAAACAAAGCACACGGCAAAAGTTTATTGTTTGATATATTAAGTAAAATAATGAGTGATTTAGAGCTCTGGAAACCTCAGATCTAGCAGTTGATACCAGTGACCCCATCTAGATAAAACAAAATGGTAAAAAAAAAAAGTCATTTGCCTTTCTTTTCCAATATATATAATAATTATTTTACCATAATTGTATTTTCTATTATGTCTTTGTTACAGGGGCCATTACACAGGCTAGGATCACTTCTACAGGGGCCCCTGTCTAGAATCACCAAGCTCATGAATTCTGTAACGTGTCTTTAGATGACATGTATTGTTAATTGGTGCTATGTAAATAAACTGAATTAAATTGAACTGATTTTAACATTAATGAGAGGAAAAAAGAATAAATATGGCACTATATTAGCCAAATATTCATTTTTGTCCCCCCATATATAAAAAAGTACACAATGGTCAGCCTTTTTCGTGTGAAACTGATTCAGAATTCCTTCCCATCATCTTAACTCTTTCTCAGTAGTCGTTCAAACATCTTCTATCCTCATCTCAGGCACATGAACATGTTTTCTCTTTATATTAACTGTCAGAAAAGCTGTTTGTTGAGGACAACAATAAGCTGCTGAGCCATTGGTGGGCTGGGCTCTCACACGCATCCCAATCAGACTCATTAAAAGACCTCCATCAGTCCCAATGCAAACATCCAAACCTTAACCACTTTTACTTTACATGATGATGAGGTGATGATTTATATAAAAAAATGAATTAAACAGCAGAAAGTAGGCAGAACAAGCGCACCTTATTCCCTTTGTCTCCATCTGAGGTGCTAACCCTTCGCCTTGGAAATGATCCCTGCAAATTAATCAACTTTTTCACTGGCAAACCCACCCATGTCACTTCATTGATTATTTTTACTGTTGCTGAAGTTGCGATCGGACATCTTTAAACCTCCCCCTGCAGCCCAAGTTCAATCAAGGACCGGTTTTTGCACAGCCGCAGCGCGCAGTGCGTAAAGCGCGTTTTAACGCGTTTCTTTGGATAAAAGTTAAATAAAGGAGACTGTTTGAAAGATCCCGAGGAGCGGGGGGCTGAAAGATGTAGTTTATTGTTACCCCTGGCTGTATGAAAGCATCCTCTCTGTTTGCCCCCACCTCTCACTCCCCCTAATCCTGCTGCTGCTACCAAGTGAGGTGCTTTATTCAGCCTTTTTCTCCCCCTAGGTTCGCTCTCGTAAGGTGGTTTTTGGGGAAACGGGGTTTAGGAGACGCAGACGCGCACTTACCTGCGTTTATTGGGACCGGGGACTTGGTTTTATTTAATGCTCTACCTGCTTTCCATCCGCTGAAAATGGCGGATGGAGGCTTGAATCGGGAGGCTTTTCAGTGAAGTCCGGATCGCGGTGTGGTGGAGTTGGGAGAGGCAGTCTGTCAGAGGCGATGGTGCAGCTGGGAGGATCAGGTCCGGTTGAAAAGTGAGAGAAAATGAGTTTCCCTAGAAGACAGGAGGCTCCTTTTCCCCTGGAAGTCCCGTCCACTCTGCAGCCCCACAACTAGAAACCAGACCAATTAAGTAGATTCATCTGTGAGCATAATGGGCCTGTAGGATGGGGCCATCTGTGCCTCCATGAATAGCCCAGAGAAACTCAAGAAAAGGAGGCACAAAGTCTGTAGCATAACTTATTATATTAACAGAAGAGTCATATCCTCTATTCATTTTATTTAACCTTTAAAACAAAGTTCTAAGCATGTTTTCTTTTCTGATTAATCATCACATTTTAATAGAAGAATTTAAAAAAAGGCTCAATGAACAAATTTAAATGCTTGATTAGTTTGCTTTAAGGGAGAAGAATATTTTCTCCATCCCAAAGGGAAATCAACTGCAGTATTATTTCAAATTATTTAGTTTTAAAAAGGCGTTGTAGCTGGTGATGCCTGATGAAGCCTTGTAAAGACTAGGAAGTATAGTGTCCAATAGACAGAGAGAGGAGATTAAAAATATTTCAAATCAATGCATTCTTTGTGATTTTCTTATTGATCTCAATTTGTCTTAAATCAGGTTTATTGATCTAGTTGTTGTCTACAGCTGCTTATCCTTAAAGGGTTACTGGTTGCTGATCTGCTTCATTCTCTCTCTATTCTCCTACTCTGCAGAATTTATTAGTTCAATCTCTAACCTTCTGCTCTCTCTGCTTTTTCTCAGAGTAGCTTTGCCTCGTCTGTTCCTGTTTGGCTGTGACGCCATCCTGGAGAGAAATATCAGCTGTGCTGCTTCCATCAACACCCTTGTTTATAGATGCTGGAGATTGGCCTGTTTTTCAGTGTAGTCCTGTTTCTCTGACTGGCTGGATGTGCTCTCTTCATCCTCTGACATGGGAGTTGGCTTGGAGCTCGTCTGCCTGGCTGTGTTTCCTGGATGGGGCCGCCTTTTACAGCTGCTTTTTGTATCTCTGCTTCTGTCTCCTTGAACCCCAGTCGGCCTCAGCAGATGGCCCCTCACACTGAGCCTGGTTCTGCTGGAGGTTTCTTCCTGTTAAAAGGGAGTTTTTCCTCTCCACTGTTGCTACAAGCATGCTTAGTGTGAGGGATTGCATTTAAGTCAATGAGTCGATGCAATCAACAGGTTTTCCTTAGATAGAAAACTTTGAATCAATTTGACTGTATGATCTGGTGAACTGTTAAGTGCCTTGAGATGACATGTGTTGTGAATTGGTGCTATATAAATAAACTGAATTGAATGGAATTGATCGCTTGTCATTTAATGATGGAGGGGATGCCCCTAAGGCAGATCGCCATTTTACTACAGGACATAACTAACACTAATTTAGCAGTCAGGTTTTTTTTGGCTGGAGGAAGCTGGAGTACCTGGTAAGAACCCACACATTTAAACAAACAACAATTCATGCACACCTTTAAACAAGTCGAAGATATATCAAAACATGTTCTGTGTTAGGCTGCTCAGTGGAGCAGTGGGTAGCACTGCTGCCTTGCAGCAAGAAGGTTCCGACTTTAATTCCTGGCCTGGGGTCTTTCTGCATAGAGTTTGCATGTTCTCCCTGAGCATGGGTGGGTTCTCTCCGGGTACTCCACCTTCCTCCCACAGTCCAAAAACTAATTGGCTGCTCTAAAATCTCTTTAGGTGTGCATGAATTGTTGTTTGTCTCTGTGTTGCCCTGCGAAGGACTGGCGACCTGTCTTTTCTTTTCTGTAGTCAGCTGGAGATTTACCATCCGTTTTTGCGAAAGTGTGACAGAAAATGGATGGATTTGATGATGGATGTGTTATAAAGTGCTCCATAAAAGTAGTTGTCTTTCATGAAATGCATCTCTACCTTTTTTATTATTAGAATCAGTTTACTCCTTTGTGCTGTTCAGCTGAAGCTGTAGCTGTATTCAAACTCTGCATTTCTATGACTTACCCTCAAACTCACTTGGCCTGGGCAACATACCTCTGTAACTTACCTGCAGAAATCGGCTTGTTTGCATAGTTGGTCCTTTGCAGAATGTTATGAAAGCAGCATGTACCTGAGTTCCTGGTGCTCACCAGCAGGTATTTATTTTCATCCAGAATGAAACTGTTGGTTTTTATTTTACGTGTTCCCCCTGAAGCATGTGTTACATGTTTTTTTACAGCTTGTTTTATCTGGAATCAGATCCAGATGTCTTTTCTTCTTCTTCACTGATAAGGATATAGAGGAATAGGTCTCACTTGTTCAGTGAAGGAGGTTTATTACTCTTTATACCATTATGATTTTTACTTTGAGGTCCTAGAAACTATAAATTGATGTTTCTTCTCTTAAATGGAAAAAATGTTTTTTAAGGTAACTTTGTAAACGTGGCTTCATTTGAATGTTTGGCATAGTTCCTCACTTACTGTACTCTGCAGAGGATCCATCACTGTTTAATGAATTTTGACTTTAATTAATTTAAAATGTCACTGCCTAATAGTTTTCAAAAACAGATTTTCTTAGGACATTGGTTACATACTTATTTTTTGCTTGTTAATCATAATATACAGAACTATTAAACAATTATTTAAACCCTTACAGTTTTTTTCAGCTGTTGTTTTTCTGTCATACTCAGTTTTATGATGATACTGCATCACTGAACTAGTAACTATCTGAGAACAGGAAGTAGGTAAAAATGAATAAAACAACAACATCAATCTCAAAAGCTGACATCTATCTGCCTGGAAAAGGGTTACAAAGCTAGTTTAAGGCTTTAAGTATTCAGTAAATGCAGAAGACACGAAACAAAGAAGTCATCCCGCTAAAATTACTCCAAGAGCCCATTATTGTTTTATCCAGAAGGTCACAAGTAAAACAGAACAACCAAAGCATTGCAGGCCTCACATTTCTCCAAAACATTGGTTGATTTTGGAGATTTTGGGGGGAAATATTCAGTGGACTGATGAGAGAAAGGTGTGACTGTTTGGAAAGCATTTTTTTTTTTTTTTTTGCCTTTCAAACTTTATTAGTTTTACAACGGCTGAAGCATAAACATATAAAATGTTCTAGACATGCTGATATACTTTAGAATATATAAAATGTTCCAAACTATATCAACAGATACAATTCTAAATCAAAGTAAAAAAAAAAAAAAATTATAAAATAAAAAATAAAAAAAATCATTAACAGGTGTGGCCTAGTCAAAGTCTGGACTAAGATCTAATTGAGATACTGAGGCAGGATCTTCAGCAGGCAGGTCATGGTCTAAAACCCTTTTTTCAATAAATATCCAAAGAGGATTGGCTCAATATTCCATCAAAATGGTGCTAAAAAGCAAGCTATGTTCATTCCACCTAGCATTATGTGGAAAAAGTATTTCACATCAATTAAAACATGATGATAGCCTGATAATATCTGAAAACAAACTGAACTGAACTACTGCTTGGAAAAATATAAAGGAACTTGATATAATAAAATAAAGTTGTGATACATTTTAGATGTTTCTATTTTAGTACTCTTGTATATTATTGTATAAAGACCTTCATAAATAATAACAATCACTCTTCAAACAGCCCAATTTATAACCTTTTTCTTTGTTAGATTAAACAAGCACTGTTGTTTTTGCAGCTCCAAGTATAGACTCACATGTTCTGTTTATGGCCGCTAGAGGCCGCTGTACCACTGTAAACTAACCTAGTCCAGCCAGCTACTCCTTTACAAATGATGGGATTAGGACAATCCTTGATCCAGATTACACATGCTTTCCTGAACATGTTCTATATATTCTCAGTCAGATAATATTAGTGGATTATTGTTTTCATTGTTTTAGACTGTGGGTCACAATTAAGTCTTTAGTTCTGCTTTTTTTTTTTAAACACCACAGATATGCAGGATGATTTGATTGTTAATTCAAAAAATGTGCCGTTCTAAGAGGTTACAGGAGCTCATTGTTTTATGACACCTTTTTAGTTCTTTGCTAATTTAAGACCTATATTTCTTTACATCAGCTACAGCCATTTAAAAAATCTCATGATTTCTTGGTCACTAAAACACCTAGTAGCTGTCACATTATATTTCTGACAAATAAAAAAAAAAGGTGGGGTTGATATAAAACCTGTTTTCCAGAGTCCTGTTCTGTGATTTAACATTTATTTAGAACTAAATACATTTCCTAACCTGCAGAACCCTGGAACTCTCTAAAGAATACTGTACTCACCAATAAAACAAAAAAAAGACGTCCAGGTCAATCTTTTCAAAACCTTACAAAATATGCCACATATTCTGATCGTATCAAAAGAAAAACACATATTTTTAGATTAATAGAAATGCTGGAATAAACTGGTTGTGTTGGTGTTCCATCCTAAAAAAGATGCTTTGGATTAGGTTATTAGATGCAGCCCTAGCATTAATATTTTGAATATGATGTACCTTAACCCCCCATAGTGAAACATTAAAAAAGTAAATAGTTTACAAGACAGCAATGCTAGAGAAATTACTTTCAAGTGTTGGTTGTGTTTAACATGCCAGTCTAAGAAAGAAGAGATTAAAACAAAGGTTTGTTGCTCAAAGGAACATATTTGGCTGACTGAATTATTACTAAAGTTTTCTAAACATTTCTGCAAATAAGGCAAAATGTCCGGCAGTGGTAGCATCATAATATGAGCTACTTTCATTAGAGGTTGGATCTTTGGTGAAGTGGAAGAAATAGGATGGAGGGAGAATCTGCAGGATCATCCGAGGAAAGCTGTGGTAAAGAAAAGGCAGATGAAGATGTGGGAGGCTTATAGATTCCTACCAATGTAGAATAAACACTGAGACTGAATCTCAAAGTTCATGTAACCAGGGTCATTCATCCCTTTTATCTTTTTCTTTCTTACAGAATTGTAGTGTATGCATTGATGTGCTCTTTATATCATATAAAGACACCAGAACTTGTCCTATTGGTGTATTCACTGATGTGTTTTGTTGTGACAACAAAGCCTCAGAAATCTACCCATTCAAACCCATTTCGCTTTTCTGATTAGGGCATCAAAAAAGTCTCTATATGTTCTTTTATTTATCAGCTTATTGTCATAACATCTCAGATTAAAATGCTGATATGTTAGGATT